AGGCTGATCACTCTGCATTCCTTCACACATAACTGTTTGTCTACAGAACACGTTTCCTCCACCTTCTGGAAACATATAGAGTCTATAGAAGCAGTATAAAAGACGTCCCCATCGACCACATTTGGACTATGAACAGCCTGTACACGGAGGTCCTACAGACGTCAGCACTCGATGTTCAGTAGATGTTGAAAAAAAGGCGTCGTCAGGCCTTAGAGAACAAACCCTTCAGAGGACCAAAATTATACATCCAAAAATGACTTATTAAAGATGTCACTCTGACGTTACTTTGCTCGGTGGGTATTTCCAAGCCACAAATAAGCTGTAATCTCTGCAGCATGTCCTGTATCTGGACATGTCCAAAAACATCTCATGCATCCTCATCAGAGTCCACAGCTCAGCTGGTCCTTTCAGTGCAGAGGAGGAGCAGCTCTACTCTTAGCTCCTCCCGAATCACCGAGCTTCTAAGTGGTGGATGTTCATCCAGCCACTTAAATCCTTTATCTTGTTCTTCACTTTACCACACACACCTCACACACACAGAAGCAGATCTGCCAGTAAATCAACAACTGTGTTTTTTCTGCTTCTCTCTCCCTCCACTCAAGAACAAGTAACAGTACACGGTGCACACTTTTCCAGGGAGGCTGAGTAGTGTGATCTCCTTGATGTTAGAGGACATCCTTTGCCTGCTAGTCCTTCCTCCCTGCAGCTGTCAGACTGTACAATCAAAACTGCTCCCAACAAACATAGATGTTGACATCAGTGCTGTAACAACTTCTACTGTTAGAACTGCACATTACTTTTCTCAGTTTATATACACTAACTTACTGGAAGTCACATGTCTACTTTTTAATCCACAGATACAATCACACAATCTGCACTTTTCTAATTATTCATTAAACTATTTAAACACCGTTCAGTATCCTGCTCTGTTTGCACTCTACAACCTGGGTTTGCCACCTATCTGTACTCTAATTGTAATTGTAATGTACAGTACTGTTTTGGTAACTATTGTCCATGATGTAAATATGTAAAAATTGTGTTTATGTTCTGTTTGTATATTTGTTTTTGCTGCTGATACAACCAAATTTCCCCAAAGGATTATTCTATTCTATTCTATTCTATTCTATTCTATTCCACAGGAACTACCCCAGACCTTCGCACAGTGCTGTAGAGGTGAGTCTGGCAGTACAATCCCACATCCACCCACAGGGATCTGCCACAGAGGGCGGTGACTACGTCAGTGAACTCACCTGCACTGATTAATGATGGTAACATGAAAAATATGTATGAGAGAAATCCTTCAGCATTTAATCTTGAAATCTGTGATGTTAGTTTCTCACAAAGATGAGAATCATATGGCCAGTTTTATAACTAACAGCACAGATTCTTATTCAGTTTAACTGAAGGGACTGGTTCTTCCTTTAAAATGGGAGTTTTTCCTTCCCACTCTTGCCAAGTGCTTACTCACACGGGGTTGTTTGATTGTTGGGCTTTTTCCTGTATTATTGTAGGATGTACTAGTTCATGCATTTATTACTTCCAGGCTGGACGACTGTAATTCATTATTATCAGGAAGTCCTAAAAACTCCCTGAAAAGCCTTCAGCTGATCCAAAATGCTGCAGCAAGAGTCCTGACAGGGACTAGAAAGAGAGAGCATATTTCTCCTGTTTTGGCTTCCTGTTAAATCCAGAATTCAAAGTCCTGCTGCTCACATACAAGGTCTTAAATAATCAGGCCCCATCTTATCTTAATGACCTTGTAGTACCATATCACCCTAATAGAGCACTTCGCTCTCGCTCTGCAGGCCTACTTGTTGTTCCTAGAGTATTTAAAAGTCCACTCCCTTAGTTATGCT